CAGCAAGATCTTTTTTGATCCACCTCCTAGAGTAATGGAAATAAAAACAAAAATAAACAAATGGGACCTAATGAAACTTCAAAGCTTTTGCACAGCAAAGGAAACCATAAACAAGCCGAAAAGACAACCCTCAGAATGGGAGAAAACATTTGCAAACGAATCAATGGACAAAGGATTAATCTCCAAAATATATAAACAGCTCATGCAGCTCAATATTAAAAACCAAACAACCCAATCCAAAGATGGGCAGAAGACCTAAATAGACATTTCTCCAAAGAAGACATACAGATGGCCAAGAAGCACATGAAAAGCTGCTCAACATCACTCATTATTAGAGAAATGCAAATCAAAACTACAATGAGGTATCACCTCACACCAGTTAGAATGGGGTTCATCAGAAAATCTACATACAACAAATGCTGGAGAGGGTGTGGAGAAAAGGGAACCCTTTTGCACTGTTGGTGGGAATGTAAACTGATACAGCTGCTATGGAGAACAGTATGGAGGTTCCTTAAAAAACTAAAAATAGAATTACCATATGATCCAGCAATCCCATTACTGGGCATATACCCAGAGAAAACCACAATTCAAAAAGACACATGCACCCCAATGTTCATTGCAGCACTATTTACAATAGCCAGGTCATGGAAGCAACCTAAATGCCCATCGACAGACGAATGGATAAAGAAGATGTGGTACATATATACAATGGAATATTACTCAGCCATAAAAAGGAACGAAATTGGGCCATTTGTAGAGACGTGGGTGGATCTAGAGAGTGTCATACAGAGTGAAGTAAGTCAGAAAGAGAAAAACAAATACCGTATATTAACACATATATGTGGAACCTAGAAAAATGGTACAGATGAACCAGTTTGCAGGGTAGAAATTGAGACACAAATGTAGAGAACAAACATATAGACACCAAGGGGGGAAAGCGGCAGGGGGTTGGTGGGGGGGTGGGATGAATTGGGCGATTGGGATTGACATGTATACACTGATATGTATAAAACTGATGACTAATAAAAACCTTCTGTATAAAAAAATAATAGAAAAAACCTATTTATTAAAAAAATAATAATAAAATTTAAAAAATAAATAAATAGCTTCTTTGCCTTTAATGAAGCTATCAGAATGTTTCATTTCATTATCTGTCTGTCTGGCCAGTGGTGCGTTAGTAAATGTTTAGTGACCAGCCTTGGCTGGGGAGGGGGTAAGTACTGACTTGTAGCGTCTCCCAATTTCCATGATGTAAACACTCCCAGCATGGCTCACAATTTCAAGCTACTAAAGTGATTGATGACAATGAACCTGGAGTTAAAAAGAAATGTGATCAATCCGCTCTGATGAGCTGGTACAAGCTGACTCTGGCATATCACTGAGTCTTACTTTATAAGTCTGAATCTGCAATTATTGTCCATCTAGAATGTGACCAATGAGCAGGCAACAACATGTACCCCATTCTCAGCTGTGCTTCATCTTCATGGAGATACATGACAGGTGCTTCTTGACAATGGCAGTATGATCACTACATGACCTAGACAATATACTTAGGTATGGAACATCGTTAGGTTAAAACAAAATCTCTGCTTTCTGGTTTATCAGGGATCCATTAAAATATGTATTTATTTGGTTTTATGTGGAGTCAATCCATTCATGTTCCCTTTATGTTTTTCTTTGCTTTTTAAGATCAAAAGAGCACTTACAATTGCTACAAGTCAAAGAAAATGTTAAGTTCATTTTCCTTCATTCTACTACCCTCCTCACTTCATAATTACTAAGTAACTCAAAATACCTCCCAACCTCGTTTTATTCCACAAAAAGTTGTTAGAACTTCAGTGAGTCTTCTTCTGTGGATTTTATGCCCCATTTCTAGAAAAAACTCCCCAGAAGTACTGGCAGAAAATATAAGATTTTAGCTATGCCAGACCAGGGAACAGAAAAGAAAGGATGAATGTAGGCATTTTAGAGAGAGGAAGGTACTTACAGAATGTTTATAACAGTAACTGTTCTAGGGGCTTGCATATATGATCTCATTTAATCCTCAAAATGCTCTTGGTAGCTGTTATTATTTTTTATTTTTTAATGGACAGATTGAGATGCAATTTCATTACATATCTATAGCCACACAACTAATGAGTGACGGAAGTAGGAATCAAATCCAGTGTTTTTGGACTGCCAAAACCATAATTTTTTTGATGCCATACTGTCCTTTAAAAGTAGTCTAAAGAGTATTTCATCCAAGTTGGTGAGTCTTCCCCTAGAAATTCCATCTCTAGGGCTTCTCTTTTCTCTCATCTGGTGATCTACTTCTCTCCCTTGCCTTCTCTCTAAAGCCAGGAGGAGAGAAAACAGGCGCACTGTCTCCCTTTATTCATCTCATCCAAAGACTTTTCTGCCTCTGTGTAAGAATTAGGAGACCAAGAGGGGAAGAACTTCCTTTCCCGTAGAGTCAAGACACATTCCAACAGATCTTGCCTCTATGTTGTCTCTCTGGGAAGTTTGGTCTTTACCTAGGGAGCCAGGAAGCAAGCCTGAGAAACCTGGTCTCTTCTACCCCTTTCCCTGACACAAGCAAACACCTGTGTGTACAAAACTGCTTTGGCTCAGAGACAAATTTGCCCACAGCTCCTAGGTTTGCCCAGCAGATGGGTATGGCCACACAAAAATCTGAAGGGACCTAGCCTTTGATGATCTTCTACACTATGCTGGGCACTTCACTTCCATAGGGTCACAGTCAGACATTAGAAATTACCCATGTGTTTTAGTCCTAGGATGAAATCATATCTGTGATATCAAATCTCATATACAACTATAAGGTAAAATAATGAGGCAAAAAATGTCCTAGGTCAGGTCATGTCACTCCTCTGCTCAAACCCTATAATGGAAGAGAAAAACCAAAGACCTTACCACGGCCTACAGGGCAGATTTTATTTTCGGCCTACAGGGCAGATTTTATTTTCTAAGGTGGCCACAATAATATCTCCTGTCCCATGCGTTCTTCCAGAACCTTGATACTCCCCTGTAAAGAGGTAGAGTCTACGGCCCTCCTCTTGAAGCTGAACAGCATTCTGTGACAGCCTGGATCAACAGAGTATGGTGAAAGTGACACTATGTGACTTCTGAGGCTAGGTCATAAAAATGCCATGCACTTCTATCTTGTTCTCTTGGGACACTCACCCTTGGAACCCAGCCACCATTCTATGAGAAAGCCCAAGGCACCCAGGAAGAGGCACACAGCTTTCACCAACACCCAGCACCAACTTATCAGCCATGGCTAAGAATCCTCTTGAAATTCTCCAGCCCCCCCAGTCCACCTGCTCCAGCATAAAGCAGTGATGAACCATCCCGGCTGAGCCCTGCCCAAACAACAGATTTGCAAGCAATTGTATGTTGTTTTTGGCCACAAAGTTTCGTATAGTTTGTTACAAAGCGATAGGTAACTAGAACAGCATGCAAGGCAGTATGTAAACTGGCTTCCTGTTAACTCTGAGGTATCCTCTCCAGCCATGCTGTATTCCCTTGTACACTCTGTACTTTGGCAAACATGAAAAGCACATGACCACAGACTTTAATTTCTTTCAGTGATGTTTTATAGTTTTCTGGATAGAAGTCTTGCACATCTTTCATTAGATTTTTTCCTAAGTATTTAATGTGTGTGATACCATTGCTAATGCATCCTAGTTATCCTCATTTTATTTTCTAATTATTTGTTGCAAGTATGTAGAAATAAAACTGATTTTTGCATAATGACTTTAGATTAAGCAACCTTGCTAAATTCACTTACTAGTTCTTATAGTTTATTTACAAACTCTTTAAGATTTCTATTTTCCAATGATGCTATCTCCTAGTGATAGCTATACATCTTCCTGTCTTATCCTACTATTTAAAAATTTATTTTCCTTCCCTTACTGAACTGGCCGGGGCATGCAGTGTGACATTAAAAAGAAGTGATGATAGTGGGCATGCTTGTTTGGGCCCCAGTCGCAAGAGAAAGCTTTAAATATTTCACCATTAATTATAATACTCAGTATAGATTTTCTGGTAGCTATTCTTTATCAGAAAAAGGAAGGCTCCCCCTCAGGTCAACTCAACAAGCTTTTTCTGATCACCCATTATGTCCTAGTCACTATCCCAGGAAAGAGAGAATTTAAAAATAAATGAGACTATCCTTGCTCTGAGAAATTCATCATGTAGGGTAGCAGAGGGGAATTGGAAAAGCAACTCACTCTATGCAGAGGAGTTAGTGAAGTTTCTCAAAGCACGAAGTATTATAGGAAGGGCTCAACGTATGAGATAAATGATGTTCCGGTTAATAAGAATGATATACAAGGGCTACTCCCTTAAAAACTCTCTTTTGGTGTTTATCTATACATGTGGATTTCATTTCATAGAGTCAAAGGAGTATCCTGAATCACATCACATTTTGATAAGTCTAATATTCTCAAGTATTCTTAAAGGAGGCTGTAATTGACAGAATAAAGAATTCCATGGTAAATAACTGTAGTGACGATTCTGGAGTTCTATTTACTCGGGTTTTCAAAGAATGTTACATGAGCCAAAATGCTGAGAAAGAAATTATGTTTTCCATCCCACAAACCCATTGTTAGCTCTCTTTCCATTTCTTTACTGGCTGTATTTGCAAATAATACCACAGGAAAAGAAGAAAAGTTGATTTAGAGCAAGTAACACAGTATGTGGTTTAGAAGTATTTACCTTAGGAAATCATAATACATATTAACTGTTCAACAAATACTTGTTGATTTGGCTCACCCTGGCTATGTTTGCAGGGTACCAAAGAAAACAGTCTGGGCAGAATTGTACTACCTTGGGGCAAAGGCTGTTGAAAGGTATACAATTCAAACACAGGTACAGTGCGGTCTTTCAGTTTCAAAGTTTAAAGTTTTTTTTTTTTTTTTAAAGGGTATCCGAGAGTAAAAACAGGTAACATTTCAGATTTCAAATAGGCTGAAAAGTTATGTACGACGCCAGTGACTTACTGTCTTTAGGAGAAGAACAAGGTGATCACTGTCACGTTTATGTCCAAACATCTAGATTTGTTCTGAAAGCAGAGAATGGAAGTAAGGTGGATCCAGATCTGGAACGACAGAAATTGAGGTCTTTTGGCTTGAGGAAGTCTGGAAGTATAGCTGGTGCCCCGTCAACGTCCCTTTGGGATTCATCTTGGCAGTGCCTGCCAGTCAGACCTCCCAGGCCAGCATTTGCTTTCTTTTTAGGGCTTTCCCCGTAAGATGGAGGCCATTCTGTCCCAAGTGCTAAAGAATTAACACCCCCAGGGTGGACCCTCAACAATGACCCCTGGCAGTTAGTATATCCCCCTCAGGTGGGAACTCTAAGCAGCGTTCTACATTGGTTTACAGATCTCCCCTGTAGAAGCGAGCTCATTATTTGCTTACTCTTACTCTGTTGTCTTACTTTCCCATCCCTCTACCAATGTTTCCTGGAATCACTTCCAGAATAAACCATTTTATTTGGATTCTTGTCTAAGGGTCAGCTTCTGGGGGAAGCCGAACTAACACGGGTGGTATTCTTTTTTTAATAGAAATTTTTTTTTAAAGATTGCTTTCATGTGGACCATTTTTAAAGTCTTTATTGAATTTGTTACAATATTGCTTCTGTTTTATGTTTGGGTCTTTGGCCGAGGGCCATGTGGGAGACCAGCTCCCTGACCAGGGATTGAACCCAGACCCCCGCATTTGGAAGGCGAAGTCCCAATCACTGGAGCACCAGGGAAGTCTCACACGGGTCGTATTTGACTTGAACAAAGGACATCAGTATTCATCCCCTGTCTTTTTCTAAGAAGATGGTGGCACTGTCCCCCCCCCCACACACAAATTACACCTTCTCTTAAGGAACTCGCATATTCTGTAGGAGGGTCATGGAGGACTTGAAGCAATTATCTGGACAAGTCAAGTCAAAGCCACTGTCAACTGAAATTGTGGCTCATTGGAGCACGAGCGTCGTTTTTTGCTTGACTTAATTGCATAATTGCCTTGGTTCTCAGCTGAGTGTGTGTAGACCTCTGTGTGTGTGTGTGTGTGTGTGTGTGTGTGTGTGTGTGTGTGTGTATAAGAACAAATTAATGATCTAACATGAGCGGGACCCTTTGGCTTCTGGCCAAGAGGGAGACGTATCAATGTCAAAAGCAGCTATCGAGGGAGACTCTCTCAGGGGGAGAATTTCCGCTTTCAGTTATGACCACCTAAAAACCATGATGAAATTGCTTTTTATGAAATCAAGCCATGGAAACTAAACTTCGAGGAAAAGAGTTAAATTTCAGCCTTGGAGCCCTCTGTCTGCTCTACTGGAGAATTTTCCAGGGCATGTCAAACATAGCTACAAGATTTCATGAAAGTCTTGCTTTTGACGTTTCAGTAAATTCAGTGAACATTTCTGTGTGTGAGCAAGTAGCATGGCTTTTAGAAGAGAACGGTATTTAAATTCCATGTTCATCCCTGCTTTAAAGGAATCATTGTAATAAACGAGACTCTAGTCTTAAGTTTTTGTTCATATGAGAATATTATGCAGAAAGCTTCCCAAACAATTAGCCAGTACAAGTTTCAGGACACTGCCTTAATCCAGGAGCAGAGTGGTTCACCCCTAAGAATGAGATTAGACATATTACCTGAGAGCAAGAGATAAACAAACAAATAGCACCAAAGAGGAAGCCGCCACTCAGTTTTTTGTTTAAATTAATTGCTAGATCTCTTTGACAACTTGAGTAAACTTAATACCTTTATTTTCTGTACTTTCAAGCTTATCTAACTGGACTTAATAGAAAAAATAAATAACACCTTCCCCTTTTCATCATCATTATTCTGCTTAAATGTAACTCAGATCAATCAATATAACATTGATGAATGTGGTTTGACTATAATGATTCCGATAGCATTTCTAGTATATCCTCTTCATTGAAAAGCATAGGCAAAGACAGTCTCTCTCCCTCATAAGCAGAACCCGATTTCAGCAGATGGTTCACACCAGGAATTTGTTTTGTTTTATTTTGTTTTGACCCAGAACAATGAATGAGCACCCTCTTCCTATAGGTGGAAAGATTTTGCTCAAAAAAATGCTTACGGTGCGAAATCCCCAGCTAAGGGTTTAGCTTGGGGATGACCATGCAGGTGGTCTTACCCCAGAGTGAGGTCAGCTTCAGAAAATGTTCAAGTTGGACGATTCACGTTGAGTTCCTTAAAGTTTCTTAATCACTTCACGTGCTCTCCTGCCCTGGGATTTTGCATCTGCTGCTTCCTGCCTGTAGCACTCTGGAGCCCACGCACAGCCCCTCCACCCACACACTGCTCGCATTCTCATGCTACTAGGGTTTATATCTCAGGTCTTTGCTTAAATGGAGTTTTCTGGAGGGACACACCGTTTGTGTGCCTTTTGCACTGTTGCTTGCACTCTTGTTGCATCTAAAACCTCACCACTTGGACCCCTTGGTTTGTTGTCTGCCTCTCAGCTCACAGTTTAGCCCCCCTCCTGCCCAGGTGTGTTTGACTAACCACTCCCTCTCCAGGTGGGCCTTGGAAGACTCCTCCCTAATCTACCCTAAGGCCAACTTCTAAGTCCACGGACTGTTGTCTGGGGACCCCGCTCCCACCGCCGGCCCCTCAGCTGGACTTGTCTCTCCATTGTTCATGTCCAAGATGTTCCCAGGGCCCCTTTAAACTCGGAGATTCAGGAAATTCCTATGCTTGCTCTGTATTTATATGCTATGCTATCATGGATGATAAACTTTCCCTGGCTGGATCTCATTTCATTCATTTACAAACAAACAAACAACAACAATAAAAACAAAACAAAGACGCTAAAAGGACGAGCAAACTTTTTCTTAAAGGGCCAAAGTAAGTATTTTAGACTTTGTGGAGCCACGTGGTCTCTGTCACAACTATTCAGCTTCACTACTGAAGCACAGAAGCTGCCATAAATACATACATGGATAGGTGTGTTCGTGTTCCAATAAAACTTTATTTACAAAAACAAGTGGCAAGCTGGAATTGGCCCATGGGCTCTAGTTTGCTGAGCCCTGGTCTACATGATTTGTATGATTCCTCCTCTAAAATTCCCTGAAATCGTACTGCTTTTAAGTAGTCCCTTCTTAGCCCCCTGTGCTTTTCCTCCTCATCACTACTGCAAGCAAATACAAAAGAAAACATAGGTCTCTCCCAGCAGACTATAAATTCCATGCAGTCAGTGACGAGGTCTGGTTTTCACCGGAATATACCAAAGTTGTCACAAAGTGTATAGCCCAGGTAAGCTCTCAATGAAACAAAAAGTGAATGAATATGTTTGAGTCAACCAACTTTCCCTGAGAGAGAAGGACTAGAGATACCGCACACCTGAATGTATGCTCCCCCATTCCTCTCGCCGGTAAATCATGTTTTCCATCATTTTCCTGGCAGTGGGAAGGGATGTGTACTGAAGTAGGCACAGTTGTGTTCCCTACTTCCCTAGGCAGGAAGGACTTCAAGGCAGTGTTTCTCAAATTGTCACGAGCACACAGATCACCCGCGACCTCGTTCAGATGCAGGTTCTTATTCAGGGTAAGTCAGGGTGAGACCTGAGATTCTGCATTTCTAACAGGCTTCCCGGTGATGTAGATCCTGCTGGCCTATGGAGCACACTTTGAGTTGTAAGGCTTTAGGGGACTTCTGCCCTGAGCACTTTTCCTCCCTGTTAGCACCTAATGAGAATTTGGGACATACTGCAGATATCCTGCCCTGGCTGGTTTATTTTGATTTTCTTTATAAAACCTGAAAATGGCTATTTAAATTTTTTCTGCCTATGGCACAGAGATTAAAGACACTATAAGCCTAGGAGTAGGAGTTACTTTCTGTGAAGGAAGGATATCAGCCCCTCTCCAGGTATATCTTGTTATTACAGGCAGCGAAGAAGTAAAAGGCAAGGGGAAGGTGGTCAGAGCATGCTCAGGTTTCATCTCTATTCCAAAAGGATCCCTGGACACTGCTGGGGACCAAGGAGGGATGGATGGACAGGTGGCACATCACAGCACAGAGGCACGATGCCCTTCTCATGGCCGATGATCCAGGAAAATGTGCAAAACCTTGTGCAAGGATTATATTGGGGAGAGATGCTTCTTCTTAACTCCTGCTATTTCCTTCCACGTGGGATGAATCTGGTTAGTGCGTCACTTTCTCCTCTTTCTGCTCTTTACTCACAGTGCCCGAAGAGAGAGGAAGTGACTTACTGGATCGCTAAAGTTGGGAAGAAAACTGCGCCATTTGGCTCAGCTCCTCCCTCTTTCCTCTTGGAGTAAGATTCCTGCTGGAAGTAGGCTGCTCTGCATCCTTATCCTGTAAATCTTCCCTAGTGGGTCCCACAAAAGTCCGTCTCACTCAGAACCGCCTATAACCGAGTGAATGTCTGTGAAATTCTGGGTGCGGTCTTCGGACCCATTTGGCTCTCAGACCAGGCACTAGTCATCAAGGTGAATTTTTGGCCCATCGTCTGCTGCTCCTCTGCTTCTTTTTCAATTTGTTCGCAACTCAGGCTCGGGAAAGAAAAACCAGACCTTTACTAGACCTCTTCAAAATACTCAACTGTTATCAGGGGGCGAGGGTAAAACTTTGCCTTGGTCCAGTTTTTCAGTGGCCCATGCTCATAGGCTGGTTCTGCAGCATTAACAGCCTCGCGATGGGACGCCCCTGGTGTGGGTGCCTCTAGGCCAATGCAACCAGCTCGTCCTACACATCCCCAAATACGAGCACGAGGAACAGAGACGTCCCAGTACACGCAGAAGAATCACACTCGCCGAACAGTCTGAATGATGGCAGGGAGCACAGCGGGAACGGTAGTGCCATGGGGGCTGGGCTCTCCTGGTTCTCATCTCGGTTCTGCTACTTACCAGTTCTTGGGAAAGTCACTTCCCCTCTCTGAACCTCAGTTACTTCTTCCAAGAAATGTGAATAACGATGCTCACAGGGTAGTTCGAGAAAGCAAAGAGTCTCATACCCATGAAAGCTCTTTGGGTACCATGAAAATCTGAATGATTATTATTAGTATTAATCAATGTCAAAGATTCCAAATCTCTGTTTGACGTTCACATAAAGAATT